TGAGTCCAATATCTCGCCGTACGAAGTACATATCACCACACGGCTCGCCAGATCAGAAGGGCGATAATCTTGCATGTGTGACAACTTATTGAGGAAACTATTGGCTTGAATGGTTAAATCAGCAAATTTCTTCGTGGAGTGTCACTGCAACTGTACATAATACACGCCTCGCGGTCGGTTGGTCCATCCGACTTCTAATGGAGAGAAAATTGGGAGGGAATTCAGAGGCTGAAGATTTGCGATTTCCTTTGTTGGAAGAACATCAAATGAAAAAAAGTCTTATAATACATCCTTCTTTATTTTAAAATGGTAGAATGTATCTTACATCCGTAATATCCTATCATACCGATGCATGGATGGACCGGAATCAGACAAAGGAAGAAACCTGAGGCATCAATCTCCGCTCCGCCTTGTCCTCGATCTCCAAATCCCTCTTCGCTCTCTTTTTCCAGAGACATCCACCAGCCATTGTGCTCCCTCTCAAGGCTCAATGCTGTACGACATCTGTCATGGACATCGATGACATTCTCGCAACCGTCGACCGCCATGACACCTCGCCCGAATCCGCGGCCCTAGACCACCAGCTCCTGACGCGTCTCTGGGTCGCTGAGCGAGCAGTCTCGGAGCTCCTCCCATGGCCTGGGCCATTGATGGAACGGATGATGGAGCGAGTTAGGAAGCAGGTCAGCATTTTACACCCTCTATTCCCTCCTCCTCCTTCTTTACAAAAAAAGACGCGAAGCCCTGACCAACCCATAGATCGAAAGAATCGAAGACCTCGCCGCTTCCTCCTCAGACCCCTACAACACCACCACAACAAGCACAAACAACCCCACCCTCAATCTCAAACTCTCAATCCTCCAGACCGACCTCGCCCGCACCCAGTTCCTCATCCGCTCGTTCCTCCGCCAGCGCCTCGCAAAACTCACTAAACACAGCATGCACTACCTCCTCCTTGTCGCGCCGCCCCGCGCCTCTCCTACCCCCTCCTCGCAGCAATCTCACCAAACGCCGGAGGACTCCATCCCCGACCCCGCTGATAACCCCGACCCGTCCCCGCTCTCCGTGCAGGAAGCCGCCTTCCTGCATGCGCATCAGACGCTGCTGGCGGGACACTACGGGGCGTCGTTCTTGAACTCGTTCCCGCCGCAGCTGAGGCGGTTGGATGATAATGCGGGCGGGACGAGTATGGTTCAGGGGCCGGAGGTGCGGGAGGCGGTTGTGGTGAGGTGTTTGGTGGAGGAGGTGAGTGTTGTTATTCCGCCTGGGGATGGGATCGAGGAGGAGCAGTTTGGGACGACGATGCGGATGGGGGATGTGTGGGTTGTGAGGTGGGAGGGGATCAAGAGGGCGTGGGAGAGGGGGGAGGTCGAGGTTCTGTGATTTGATTTGGGGGGGAAAGACTACATAGCATCTGCCGGCGTTTTGAGGAGTTGATTTATCGGATGGTACATACATACCCAGACAGGCTGTATATGAAGTCAAAATCGACGCATTCGATCTGATTGTGTTTATTCTGCTAGCGAATGGTAGCTACTGATTTGTAGATAAGCCAGCAAGTCCGATAACAACCATTGTAATCATCGCTCGTAGCGGACCAAGATGCATTCATCATGAGCTAAGACGTCAGGGAAAAGATGAGCAAGCGAAGATTTCTATATCAATGAACCATGATCTCCCTTTCGCCAGTCACCGCTAAGTTCAATAATATACCATGCAAAAGTACTATGGGGGGATTGCTCGCCAAAAGAGACCAGTATGAGTCCAGCCACATGTCTTCGTAGGTCAAAGCCGAACGGATCAAGTGAAGACGGATGCGAATGCGCTCAAGCAATGTATCCATAAGTCGGAGGGTCCTCAGCCACACGCTCGAGATATTCACGGTCAATCAAACTCTCAATCCGTTTCTTGACCATATTCACATCGGGAACGAACCGCGCAGACAACTGGCCTAGCACCTCGCTCATAAGACTCGAATGGACCAGCGTTTTGCGCTGCCTAAAAGGCGATTAGTCTCATTGCCACTGAAAGACTTGAACAAACTTACTTCATGATTCGAACAATTGCCGCCTCAATACTGGCCCCACGCTCCTCATTCATCTTGCTCTCCGTTTCCTTACGCTGGTCCTGATTCTCAACCTTGTTGGCACCACCGCTGACGACACCAATGCGAACTTTCATAAACTGGCTCTGAAATTCGTGGTTGAAAAAGAACTTGTCCGTCGGCTTCACATCCTTGCTCATGGGTTCCTTCTTCAGAACCCGCGTTTTGGGTGCGACAGCCAGTGATTGCAAGTTGCGAATCAGGTCGTGCTGCGGAATGCGTGTCCGCTCCTGAATCTCTTCGAATGTGAGAGACTCGCCTGTAGGTACGTCATTGAAAAGGAGGAGTATGACCATGGCGTATGTTGATACATTGAGTTCATGCCGTTGGACCTTCCCACTCGATCGTTGAAACGTCGCCCGGATATCAGCGGTTCCCATGCTCGGTTGCCATGATAGCTTCCGGCCGTTGTGTTTGTTGAGATAAAATTGCTCAAAGCTCTGTTTAACGCTCTCTACCTCTTTCGGAAAGATACATGAGAGCTGGACTTCTCCATCTTTGGGGTTCGACATGATCTCCATGGGCCACATGGTGCTGGTGAGGACGTTGATTTCCAAGTCAACCCGTTTCTGGTCCGGGTCCCCTGACTTTCGTATATGCTCTTTGTAGCTGGCAGACAAGTCTTCCGAAATCGTCATGTCCTTGAACATGGCCTCCAAGCGCTGTGTAAACTGGTTTCCAACCTCCATCTTCATTTTTGAAATCATCTGCCGTTCAGCATCCATGCTGGCGGACCGCTTCATGAGGAGACGGCGAGAAAGATGTTTCTTGTAATAAGTCTCGAATAAATCTTTATCCTTGATGTACCGCAGCAGAGTGATGCCGTTGTCAAGAAGGGAATCCACCTCACTTTCGGTCTTGCCTTTGATGCCCTTTTTCAAATTCTCGTCGAAGAAGAGAGAAAGGAACTCAGAACTGCGTGCATTCGAGTTGATGAAGTCCGAAAAGCTAGTAGTGATGGCACTTTGCATGCCCTGGTCTGACAAGAAGGCCTTCTCCCAGATATTGTCGAATTTCCTCTTGAGAGCTAGAATATCGTCGACCCACTTGATAGCAGCCACTGTTTGCTGGTTCACAGGCTTTTCCTTTTCCGCGGGTTTCTTCTCGCTGCTGGGACTCTTTTCCGTTGCTTTTGAACCCGCAGATATTGACGACTTTTCATATGCAATGGACGAGGCATTGATCTCTCGACCCATTTGACTAATCCGTTTCTGAACTGCCGTGGTGAGAGGAGTCTTTTTGTTGTCAACCCGAGCGCTAAGTTCATAGATGTCTCGCAAAATATCCACCCGATCGTTGTCAAGCAGATTCCTGACACCCGTGCCTTCAAGATTGATGACCTCCGCGATGTTCCTGGCAATTAGCTCTTGATCGAGGACGTTCTTGATCTTTGGCTCAGTAAGGGTCGAGAGGGTATAATGGCATCGTTCTTTCTCTTCGGCAATCCGGTTCGAGGCGATCCGGCAAAAGGACGCTGCATCGGCCATTTCCAACAGACGCTGCCCTTCAGCTCGATAGAAAACCTTGCTTGTTTCGAGGAAAGCGGGTTCAAACATGGTCAGATAGAGTTTCGATGACTCCTCCTCCGTAATAGTTTCGTAGAGACCCTCAAGCATGTAGATACAATGCCGGATGAGGGGACGGTCAATGACGTGACCAGATCGTTCCAATTGAATCATGAACAGCACAGTGGTCTCAAGCACATCGGCAACCGTGGTTTTTGTGTCAGAGTGAATGGGAGATCTCAGGACTTGATCGCGAAATAACGCCATCGACGCAACATATATTGAAGGCTTTCGAAAGTCCGCCATGATGATTCGATCCTGTATGGTAAGAACATGTTAGATCCGAGATCCAGCGAACACAGAGAAGCGGTGGACAAACCATGTACATGAGAACGTCCGTAATCATCCCCATGCATAGTTGATGGTCTTCCCATGCACCCTTGAGCACAGTCAAGAACTTCTCTCCTGCTTCCCTTCGCTCGCTGGCTTGATCTTGCATATCTGCAGGCTCCTGCGCCAGCAGTAATGTCGGCGAAATTGCTGCTGTCACTGTTTTCTTCACTTCACTTCCAAGCCATTCTTCCTCCAGCTTCTTTACTCGTTCGTAGAGGTCATCGCCGCGCGTCATCAAGACGATTCTGTAGGCGTTCCGGTAAAGCTCTTCGAAGGAAAGAGCGGAGGCATTCTTTGTGTGTATTTCATTCAAAGAAGATGACAGCACCCCCCATATTGTGTCAAAGTCATCAGCCTTCGCCGCACTCAGACCCTTTATTGAATCATTAGCTGATTGTTCGTCTTAAAGTAAGTTCAAGAAGTTCTGTCATCCCAACTGCCGTCGTCAATTTGACAACACGAACGGCAGCATAGAGACGTCCAAACAGAATATGAAAAGCACAAAGAACATACCCTCCGTGGGGCACGAATCTTGTGCCTAGCCCTCATAGCCATCTTCGAGATATTGGCAATTTGCCATCCACCGGATTGTACCTCTCGACTTGGGGCACTTGCGCGGGGCAGAATAGTAGAATGCCGATGAGGAGTGAGGTCGTGGCAGAAGGGCGGGCAAAATGAGCAGGGGCGAGCAACTTCTAACGACGAAAACCTGTAATATCAAGTCTTTCTCTTCATCGTCAAGATAATCATTAATGAATTGTGTTGACGGGTTAACAGGAGACTTTGAAAGTTGTTGCGGAGTGAAAAGAGCTGGAAGAACGTAAGTCCGGCGCAATTTGGAGAACCGTCGTCATCGCCGCCGGAGATCTTTACTTTTTAGTCCTCAGTTTGCAAATAATCTTTCGACTTGAGGTATTCACTTTCTGACCAATTCTTGAACATTACTCCACCTCTCATCTGTATCTTTCCATCTATATCCTCAGTTCAAATACCCCATGATGCGCCCAGCAAGAACGCTATCGTCCGGTCTCCGTGCCTTCAACTCTGCACTTCCGCGGGCACTGCTCTCACAACCCAAATCGCGACATTTCTCTCAGCTGCTCTCTCACACTCCTCAACCTTCACCAACCCCTTCATCGAGACTTCTTCGGACTACATTCCCCCAACTCGCCGTCCGAAACAACTCCAGCTCATCATCATCATCCCCCCCGAACCTCACCGATCAAACCTCAAACGCCGCTCAGGACGCAGCCAACGAAGAGCAGAACAGGTTACGCCGCGAGCAAGAACCCGCATATCAGATTACATTCACCTGCAAACCATGTGGTCATCGATCTTCGCACCGTATGTCCAAACATGGCTATCACCGCGGGACGATCTTGATCCGCTGCCCGTCTTGTCTCAACCGCCACGTTATCGCCGATCACCTCAATATCTTCATGGATAAGAAAAGCACCCTCGAGGATATCTTACAGCGGGAGGGGAAGCGATTGACTCGCGGTTATGTTGACGGAGACATGGAATTCTGGGAGGATGGGACGGTGAAGAAGCGCGAGGAAGCCGGTGAGGGCTCGGAGGCCAAGTAGGATCAGGGACCGACACCTTGATTCATTCTTCGATCTTTTCCGGGTTTCGGTCTACGTTACTTAAAAGAAATGCCCTCGCGGCTTAGCACAGGCTGATGGCGTTCAGTTGCTGGGCTGAGAGGCAAAAGTGCTCGGGGCATGCTCAATGCGAACATAGAGGCGTTAGAGGTGTTGACTTTGGTAGAGATACATTGAGCACCGGTTGTATATATCAACTCCACTTCCTGTTAATGTACATTCAAATTCAACTGATCTACTGTTGATGGTTTCTTTTGGTATCCTAGGTGGGCAAAGTCTCAGTATACGGTTGGTGCTGAGTTTAGAACATATGCAATAGGATATCACTCAGTTATATACACTGCTCCCAGCTTATGCAATAGACAACATTATACCTCAATATGTACTCTATCTCGTAATCCAATCATACTTTTTATATACCCCAACGCCCAGCAGTGCAACAACATCCCAGTGAACAAACAAATCCAAACCAGACAACGGCATCTACCAGCCGCGCCTCTTTCCCCGTTGTTCCATTCCCTTCTCCTTGCGCTTCTCGCGCTTGCGGTCGTTTCGCCTCTTCTTGTCCCGCCCGTATTTCTCGGGTTCTGTTACCGCCTCAATACGTCTCTTCATTCGCCGCCCCTCACGTCGCTCCTTGATGGAGTCCTGGACAGACGCCATCTGGGTGATGTACTCCGTGGTGCCCAATTTCTTCTGAAGCAGGTCGAGGACTTCATGGCAGTTCGAGACCAGTGCCTTGTATGACTCCCGGAAGCGTTCATCTGACGAGCGAGGAGCGGGAATTGACGGATCGGTCAAGTGCTGAAGAGGAAGAAGGATAGTGGGCAGCGAGGGGAGGATCTGATCGGTTTCCAGATGGCGGCAAAGGGCTGCGAGAAGACCAATGGACGCGCTCTTGGGAATCAGGGAATGTGCCTTAGTCGTGAGGAGTTCTCTGCGTAGAATGGAGGAGATCTGCTGGAAAATGTACTGGATGGCAGGCTTGTCAGAGCGTTCCGGGTGCCCGTCAACGTTTCCTTCGTCGTCTTCATCTTCATCTTCACTCTCGCTTTCGCTCAAATCAGCATCCTTAGACCCACTGGTGGGGAACACAAGTCCATTCTGAGCGCAACACCGGCCAAGGAAGATAACGTTGCGGACAGTTTGCATAGCAAGTTCTTCACTTATACCAGGAGTGCGGAGACAGCGTAGACTGGCGCGGATCAACTGTAGCATGGCGTCCTTGTCAAGTGGCAGTCCTGTAGAGCCAACCAATGGAATCGACCCATAGCCATTCGCAGCATTAGTCCTGGCCAGATCTGCAAACCATGTACCGACAAGGTTAGAGGCGCAAGTCTTGACCCAAGCATGAGGATAAAACAGGCACTCTCGAACAGCAGCCCAGATCGGAACGCGCTCTTTGGCTAGAGCCACAGCAGGGACGGCCTTGCAAAGCTTAGTAAGGAGCTGCAAGGCGAAGTAAAGCACTTCCCAATGTTCAGTCTCGTCGCTCTGGAGAATTGGTTGCATGATCTCCGGGAGAGTTCCCATGACAAAACGGGCTTCCTTGTCCTTCTCCGTCTCCTCAACCTCGAAAAAGACCCTCATTGCTTGTAACCCAGTACTGGTCAGAAGAGTGTTTTCGGTTTGCTCGAGCCAAGACCGTATGGGTGTGAGCATGGACTTCATTTGTTCCCTGTCCGCTCTACTAAAGAGCTCGCCAAGTAGCGCACCTGCCATTTCTCTGCACTCAGGTGCATCGTCATTCGCCATGACCATGACCACCGGCAAGAAGAATGTACCCACAATATCTTGAGCCAATTCGGTTCCTGTCTTAGCCAAGAGCATGTGTACAGCTTCCATCACAGATTGACGACCTTCTTGGTGCTTGTATTCCAAGTTCTTGGCCAGGAAACTCAATTGCTTCGCCCATCGATTCTTGGCTTGAGGATACTCAATCAAGAAGTGAATATAGGTGCCGCGCGCTAGATCACGAGCCGAACGGGTTTGGTTCGTTACCATCATGGCTCCAATGTGGTCCATCAACTCATAGATTTCGGGCACCACAATTTTCCTGGCCATGACCGCGCGGATGAAGTTGAACGTTACGCCTTGGCGGTCTGGCTCTTCAATGTCGGAGACCAGACGTTGGAGGAGGTACGCGAGGTGCCCATCTCTGAGCTTAGCGCTCTTTCTCTCTCGCAGCATAGCCGACACTAACTTTAAGGACGCCTGTGCAGCCTCGGTATTGGTACTTGGTGCCTCCTTGATGATCTTGACTGCTTCGGTGAAATAGACGTGAGCGTTGTTATCAATATCCGCGAGAGGAAGCTTGATGATAGTCGACAATAGGCGAACAGCCGCGATCTTCACTTCCTCGTGGGCCTGTATTAACGAATCGCCGATGATGGGGATGAAGCCAGCCAGGTTTGTAGGAGTGAGCAGGGAGTCATATTTGTTGAGTATTGAGCGCAGCACATCAAGCGAGAATCGAGTCAGCTTGTAGATATGAGAAGAGGTCGTTCCACGTTTGTCGCCTCTCTTTGCGCCTTTGAGGTTCACCAAATAACGTTGTTCACGAAACGAAACGGAGGCCGCTTTCTCCACTTCTGCCGGATCGCGATATGTCTCCTTGATGACTTCATAGCAGAATACCAGGATGTCACGGCTTTCAGCGCCTGGGTTCCTTAGCAGACCCACTCCAATTCTCCGCAAGAGTTCGTCGAGTTTTTTGACCATGCTAGAGTTCAGTTTCTCGCGCAACAAGGACTCCAAAGGCCGCAGCAGATTCGCAAGATTTCGGACAGTCGCATTCTTCGCCAGCAGTTCCATCGAATCATAACTCTTACTGCTCTTGACTTCCTTCATCTTGCTCACATAATCCTCCGCATCTTTCTCCTGGCCAACCACGCCGAAGGTGTCATCCATCACTACGGCACTGAGATCCGCGAGACAGTAGTCCAAGTCTCCCTGCTGGAAATCATCAGTTGTCGCCACGAGCATCGAGTGAACTGTGAAGGAAAGAACGTGAAGCTGATAACCCTTCGTGAGAGTGCTGCGAAGTTCCCTAAGAATGTATCCGAAATAGTTAGGACCTAGCAGAAGGGCAATCTCATTAAGCGTCTTTCTAGCGGTGTCTCGCGCGTCTTGAGATCGACTTTTGAGGATGCTGCAGACATCCAAAAGAACAGGAGGCAGGCGGATTGCCATATCCTCCTCGGGCAACAGCTTCAGAAGCTTGATTGTAGTGACTGCAGCTGGCAGACGCAAGCTCATCTCAGCCTCATTTTTGTGGTGGATGAAGTCAGTCAGGAAAGGGGTGAAATTAGTGGTCAGCTCTGTCGCGACCTTAGCAGGTGATGGCATAGTTCGAGCAAGGTTGCACTTGGAGGGCGCGGAGATCTCAATTCCTTCCATGCTGTCGTCGTCGATCTTCTGAACCACCGTCTTTTGGCTCATTGCGTTGCTTAGGGCATCTGCCATTCTGCCTAGAAGCCTCAAAATGTTCTTTTCCATCTCAGACTTGCTCTGCATGTACCCACGGTATCTCCGAAAAATGGCTCTGAATTGGTTCCAGTCCAACCATTCTGCAAGGGCTCCGATAGTGGCAACAGCTTCCGCAATCAAATTGTGGCCACCTTCGTCGACTTCTTGGTCGAAAACAAAGTGTTCATTGAGTGGAATGAAAATTGTACTGATATTCGAAGCCTGAAGACTACCCTTGGCTGCTTCGCTAGCAAGACGACGGAGAGCTCGAAGACGGCGATGCTGTTGTATGTGGAGAATGTTCGTGAAGAACGACGCCTCCTCGTCGTCACCAACGAGAAGCCCATGCATATCTTGCACATTGGGCCTGGTGGGATTCATCTTGACAAAGTAGCCAAGAGTAGACACGAATTCGGTCCGAACAAGCTCTGATTTCTGTCGGATTCCGCTCTGCAAAGCTGGGAACAGGATTGTTTTGACCAGGGGTTCGAACTCGTCGGCGCCGGCGCCGTCTTCCTTGGTAGCTCTCTCAATAAACCGCCTCAGTCCAAAGGAAGCACTTGTCCTGATAGCAAGTTCATCTTCATCCTTTACATGGAATAACATGTTATAGAGGAGGGGACGCCACTGTTTCGCATCCAGGGTCTCCCAAAGACTATCATTGATCTTTCCGAAGGCTTGGAGACGACGCTCGTAGTCAACTTCGAGTTTCTTTCTAGAGATCGAGTTCAGGTCCGCACAGAGCTCGGCCACTTTCTCCAGTGCAGTATCGTGTTTCACGAAAGCCGCGAAAACCCTGGACAACACCTCTCGATTTGCATCATCTCTGAAGTAATCAAACATGGACGAAACTGCCTCAAACACCTCCTCAAATAATTTTGGATCTTCCTCAGGGTTGAACAGAGGCAGGAAATGTTCGAGGATGCGCAGGAGACCCGACTTGGTTTTGGGAGACACTCTATCCGCTGGTTGACGCAGGAGATATGTCGTGATGCTCACCAGTTCCGTGGTTTCCTGGAACGATTCGACACATGGTGCCAGGAGAGAAATTGTCTGAACACCGGATATCAAGACCGGACGGGAAGGCCCGCGTTTCAGCAGGCGACCAAGGTGAGAGAGTGTATGCTCGATATAAGGGGACAAGACTTCGGATCGAATCTCATCTGCAGAGAAATCGCTCATTTCCTCTTTCTCTTCCAGCTCTTTTCCACTAGCAAGTCTGATAAGAGGGACCAGAATCTCGTCCATCACGTACACCTTGACCTCGTCGCGAGCAGATTCCACACTGAGGCAGTCGACGACCCTGGTCAGGACGGTATTGTTGTGGCGCACAAGATAGAAAGAGGACCTGGGGGCGGAGGTCCAGGTATGGAACAGCCGCAGTAGACCCGAAACTCCTTGAGCCGTCTCGATCGCGAAATTTTGAAGTCGAGGGTTAATCACTTCGTCGAAGATGACACGAATGTAAGCAGACCAGTCTTTGTCCAGAGAGACGGCGAAGATCAGCTCAAGGC